CAGCGCGTCAGGAACAGGTTGTATCGCAGCGAGGACCTCATCGAAACCAATAGCTGTCTCGAGACGACGCTGAGTGTGTATATCGCCGTGGAGAGGAGGCACAACGCTGATCTGCACTTGGTGACGAGCCATTGCAGTCAAGTACGGGATTATCGAGGTCATCATGTGATCGACCGATGCCTCCGTACTTTCAGCCAGCATGGCGCGCAGCGAATCTTCGGTGAGTGGTGGTGGACCACCAGCTGGGGCAGGAGGAGCAGCAGGAGCCATCTCCGCGGATTCAGCGACGACGGGGAGTGCTGCAGGAGCTACCGCAGGAAGTGAAGAGTCTGAAGCAGGAAGCGCCGAAGGACCAGTAGATGACGCCGCTGTCGGAGGAAGTGTAGCAGACTGAGGGACGTTCGAACCCTCGGCCTTGCCCTCCTGAGAAACAAGTCGAGTAATGCGCGATGATGAGCAAGGTACCGATGATTCAAGAGAAGGATGGGCTTACGTACCTCCAGCTGTTCACGTTCGCGACGTCTACGAGGATTGAGACGCTGAAACGCGTCGGACACGACTCGATTCAGACGCTTGGACATCCGGTGGCGAGATGGTGAATTGGAGAATGAAGAAATGTCACAACGGGCACCAGTACCGTGGCTTCCATTGCGACAAGGGGCAGTTGTGGTGTAGTGATTTCTCCGTGGTTGCGGATTATCACCCGTCGACAAAGACGTGACACCGCCCAAGTTGTTCAAGCGACGAACCCTCGGTCGGGTGATGTACGGAGACGCCAAGGTGTAAGGGACTCGACGGCGTCACCTCCGAGTTTTCAACAAGTATCGGATACGGCCCTATGTCACTGAATCCAGGCTGTCCTTATTATTAATAATGGACTGGCCGGATTCGCATTCAGCGGACCATCTACGGTACGAACCCTCAGTGGCGGTTGGGATGAGTTCGCGGAATACTCAGCGACCTTTGGAAGACACGTTAACCGTCTGGGACAGGGCGCGGACCGTTAAAGATGCTCATGCGACAGTGCAGACGACGCTTGGTATGCAAGAAGATCCATAACGGATCATTGTTCACTTGATATTTGTTTACTTAATTAGGACTTCTTATTAGGAATAGACCCGAAAGGGTAAGCTTAAATACAGAACAGAATTTCCACTCAAGCACACAGAGCGACGTCCGGCTTCAAGATAAGCGTCAGGTCAAGCTTGTTTGAGTGTGTTATGCCTGTCGGTGAACTCGAAGCTCTGTAGCGAGGGTTCATCCGGCAAGGCCAAGAGACTTTGTGTATTGGCCGATTATTATCGGGAGGTTTTACGTGACGGCTTATTGTTGCCTATTTGCACGACTGGGAGTGCTTGAATTGCCTCCCTTTTATTTCTTCCAGCCGAGTGTTGAACACTCGGTGATCTCGTAAAAGGCTTACCCGTGCCTGGTACCCTTCCGCTGTTGGGACCACGAGGATTCAAAACACCTGCTAGCTTTGCTCGTGCTAGTAGCGTGTTCTTATTTTACTGGTTGGCCTATATAAGTAGTTTACAAGGTCCAGTTTGTCCCGGTGCAAGGGCAGAACTGGGGTCTTCAGGTCCGCCCGAACGATCGTTTACTATCCTAGTAGACGTATTGTTGTGGGAACATCCTAACTACATCTGTAGCTAGAGTTCACGTGGGATTTCCAACACCACACTTCTTTCTCCATCCTCCAATAGTCGTTAGTGCTTGGGACTACAGATACCCCGTTCCACACGGGCGCCGTACGTCCTTCATTCACAAGCGGCAGTAGCTCTTCAGTTTTCGTCATATGCTCGTTGCTCACGGTCGTTTCATTTCTTTCCAGTAAGGCGGAACTCATTCCACCTCCAACGGGACACACTTCATACCTCTTGGTCGACTCCTCCGAGGAGTTCAAAGCGTTCCCATTTGTGTCGATCCATAGCCAAGAGGAAGGAGCGACACTCCCTTCCCCTCCCTCTCGCCCCCATCATTGCTGGTTGGGCGCTTGTCCTAGGACAGGTCCCACCGTTGCCCCAGCCGGACCGCCGAGTCTCTTCAGCGACGTCTTTAGAGGGCACTCCGCCAACATGTGACCTGATTCATCACACAGGAAGCACTTGCGACCGTTCCTCGGCGGGGTGTTCCGAAATCCGCTAGGAGGGTCACGCTCACATTCAGGACCGATGTGGCCCACTTCCTTACCGTGAGGACAGGTGGCTTTGCCGCGGCGACAGTGAATTCGACTACACCCCAGAGTGTGACACCGACCGCACACGAGAAGACCATCTTGAGTGCGCAAGTCCGGACCCACACGAACACCCGGATAGGCGTAATAGGAAGTGTTCCGGTAGGTTGATAGTGCAGAGAGGGGTTCGGATCAGGAGGAGAGTAGGCAGCGGCTACATTCATCGCCGGGGGAGCATAGGCGGTCGTCAGGGGACGCTCCATCAGCTGCTGTTGCTGTTGAAGTTGTTGCTGCTGCTGCTGAGCGAGTAGGTTCTGCGTCTGCTGCATCATGTTCATCATGCGTTCGAGGACAGCGTTCTCTTGGGAAGCTATAGGGGACGGCACATTGTTGAACTCGGAGTCGTCTTCAACCGGACGATGCATTTTCTTGAGGAGCAACATGGCCACAGCCGCAGGGATGGAGTCAATCATTGTCGTGGTGAGAGCGTTCCTCCAATATCGGTTCCGAAGTCCAGACAAGAAGTACTGGTAACGCATCGGAGGATCGTAGCACTGATCATCATCGCAGAGGCTTGAAATCATGTCGCCTTACACTTCGACGGACATTCCCCTGGGTCGCTTAGTGTTCTTAATGTTCTCAATCAGTTGCAACGGGGTTTGACTGATGAACTGGTTGTGGAACCGAGTTCTCAGAGCCTCAAAGCTGTTGATGCGCGAGTACATCCACCAATCTTCGCCGACCTTGCCTTTCAAGCACCCCCGGAAAGCGCTAAGTCGCAGGGTTCGTCCAGCCCGATAGTGGCGTTCTCGAAGGCCTCCCAGAAGGATCGAGCTTTCTCTATTGACGCTCCTTCCGAGTAAAACGGTTCGAGCATGCGGATAGCGTTCCGGATGTTAGTGGGCATACCATACTGGCCACTAGTCGTCGAAGGCGTATTACCATACGTAGGCGATGAGTAGTAGGAGTTACCTCCATATTCCCCATACGCAAGACCTTGATGGGCTCCGGCAGAAGCCGTAGTTCCTCCGTTTCCTCGTGAAGCTCGGGTTGTTCCCGTAGGGTCGACTCCGTGCGCGATTCCACTGGTAGTCGAAGTTCGAGACCCCGGGCCTTGCGTAGGAATTCGAACGGTAGGCGATAAGGCCTGGAAGGGAACACTCTGGGGAGCGGGAACGGTTACTGCTGGAGCGTCCCCCCCGCCACCTCACAAGTTACCAGAGGGCTGGAGACCCCCAGGAGGAGCGTTATAGGTCCTCGGAGGAATACTCGCCGGGGAAGCACGTCCACCGTTTTCAGGGACAGTCGGTAGAGAGAAGAACGGGTTGAAGTCCTGCCCATATGACGTATTCGGGGTTCGGATTGTGAAATCTTGGTACGACGGGATTGCAGTCCTTACTCGATTCGTAGGAGGGGGAGTCTCCACGAGGCCGTTCCCACCGGTTCTCTCCATAGCAGTGGCAATCTTAGGAGGAGCCACGGATCTCAACCAGTTGAGGGGGTTGAGCCAGCCTTGCACCGTACCTCGGCCGCCTCCGCCGTCCAGGGTCATCATCGGGCCCAATTCTTCCGTAGTGAAGGTCGCAGGGACCCCGGAGCCCAAAGCGTCCGCGGGTGGCTCGACACCCGTACTAGAGCTGTTCCCTCCAAGTCGGTTAGCAGCTTGGTCCACGATATTCTGCACGTTTTGGAGGCCTTGCGTAGTCGACAGACTGGGTCGCATCCTCGAAGGCAGACTCCCAGTCTGACCTTCTTCTTCTCGGATAGTGGTGCTCTCATCTTCTGTGTTGCTAGCAGCCGACATCTTGTCCTTCCTTCTGACGTTCTCCGCGAGTCTTCACTTGGAACAAGACCTTCTCCAGCAAGCAGACTACCCTGCTTCTCCACCAGATGTCGTATACCTCCTCTTCCTTCAAGGGTCGGGTAGTCCACGGCTGTTCAGGGAGTACGGTCTTGTTCAGTGGCTGCAGAAACGGTAGATAGGAACACTAGTAAGTTGAAAAATAAAAGTTTGTTGATTGGCTTGGCTTCCTCTTGAGTAGAAGGAGGGAAATATAAGACTGAGAGCTAACCGGAAGAGAGGTCTAACACCTTCTCGACCTTACATACACCACACTACTTCTTATAAAAAGAAGGATTCACTTCGTTTGTTGTCAGTCCTCGTGGGACAACGGAGAGCTTCTGGGAAGGGGCTTGATGACGCGAGGTGCTTTGGTCCCACGACGCTAAGACACCGGCGTTCTGGGGCCCCTTATAGGACCACCCTAACGGGCTCGGCCAGGGGCACGTGCGTTGTCGGGTTCAACGGAAACCACCCTGACGGGACGGCCGGACGAGGAGTGATTCCAGGGCCTCAAGTCATCCCGTCGGGAGGCAGAGCCCCTGAAATGACCCCTCCGTTCCCGGGTACGGGACAGTCGTCGCGATCTTACATTTAAAAATTCTTTATCAATATCGCTCAAGCAAAGGTGCGAGTGCAACACGTTACAAATAATACTATTGTGTACACCCCCATGCAACGACTCTGAGCCCTCGATCCCTAGTGTCCATTTAATCGCCCACAGAAACTCAGTCCATACAAATTTCAAAATGACACATGTTTTATCTTCTATAGGTTTTTGTATTGGGTCGATGGTGGCCGTAAATTGTGTCCAGCTTGACAAATCTCTTTTTCTGGCTGTTACAGATACGTAGATGCCCGCGTGTAGATTTAGCTCGGGTAAATATTGCTGGTCGTGGTTGGGGATAGTTCACTATGGAATACACCTTTCAAATGAAATTGAAGCGCTTCGCTATTATCCGGATATTATCGTTCTAGAGATAGCTAGATGGCAAGACCTTGCTGCGATGAAATAAGCGGCTCGCAGCTGTGTACGGCTGTGCGTTAGTCTGTTTGGTGTGCACACGGACAACCCGTGGCGCGGAACGATTTTCATCTTCTCTATCTGTGTGATAGCAGCGATTGCAAGCGCAGTGCCCCCCACTGGAGACCGACGGTGTCTCGGAGTAGGAGTGACGCCGCTCAGCATTTTAGGGCATCACGTGATTGCCTCGCTGTAGAGTAGCCTCCAGTGGTGTCCGCTTCGTTCGAACTTTTGCCTGCGGTTCTGCAGACATTCCTCGCGACTCCAGGCACTTTTGCCGGAGAGTCTGTGGTGTTGGTGGTCGCTTCATGTATGCTGCACCCCTGATGCTGCTGGTGCTACTGCTGACAGACGATGAAGCATAGGAGCGCACACTGCCAGCACTACGCGGGCGAGTGTAAGATCCATCAATGCGACCTGCGATACTGGCTGAACCGACTCCGCTGGTCACAGTAGTGCTACCCCGGTGGCGAGGAGTTTGAGTTGGCTTGGGGCGAGGAAGTGCACGGGTACATCCCGCTTCATACCCGCTTGCCAGTGCAAGTGCTTCAAGAGGCGGAGCCATTGGCATCGATCTTTCTTGCTGGAGGAGCTCATGACGCTTCATACGCTGCTGGTCCGCCATTTCTCGCCTTTTATGCAGCATGTGTGTCTTGCGAGGATTCGCCGTTCGGGGGCGTTCTTTTCTAACTCGCCTCGGTATGGAAGTGGTCGAGCATCCTTCTTCCGTGCAGATTGAAGACGCTCGTGGAGAACCCGTCGAAGGTCGTGAGCTTCCGCTATACCTTACCTCGTCCCCACCACTCAACTCATTATTTTCGCTCACACTATCCTCAACCTCACTATCGCTTTGCGTCCAAATTCCTCCGGGTACTCGGCTATTGGATGGATACGCCGGAGGATCCACAAACTGCAAGAACTCCTGTAGATCGATCTCACCGTTGCCATCCTGGTCGCACATGGCGAAAAGCTGCCGCATTTGCTCATCACTCGCATAAATACCAAACTTGGTCTTAAGGTTGAACTGTAGTCCGTTCATTCTGATACCTTGATCTCTTCCGGAACGAAGCATCTTGAACGCACGACGATACTGATCCTCACCGCTGGGTGTCTTCTGTACGACCTTGGACTGGATCTGTTTCATGAGCTGCTGAATAGTCCAGTTGCAGGCCGTGCCCGTGTTATTGATACCCCCTGACGTTGCTAGGCCTTGGCAAGCCAGGAACTCTTGTCGTGCTTCATTTCGGAGACGTGCAGCCTTCTCCTCACTTTCTAGCTGGCTGACTTCAAACCACTGCCGGCCGTAATTGTAGTCGGGCGGCAGAACGCGCCGGATGAACTCTTGCAGGTCAATCGTGCCATTTCCGTCCTCGTCGTATTTGTCAAAAAGTAAGTAAAGTTCACTGTCATCGAGGATGATGCCAAACTTGACCCGTAGCTGCTCTTTGAAGCTCGGAAAGTCGATGCCTTCGCCTCGATTGCCTTCGAGCAGGCGATAGGCCTGCTGATAGACAAAGTTACCAGCGATTAGCGTCTTCTCTTGGATCTTTTCCTGCAGTTTCCGCTCCACTTTGTCAACATCCCAGCGGAAATTGTGCAACGACGGCGGCAATTCGCGCCCGATAGGGTCTCGGAACGAAATTTTGGGAGGCGAGCTATAAAGCTTGGTGGAATCCTTCTTTTTCTTGGATGATTTAGTACCGGACCCAGACGAGCGCGTCAACACCGCACCTTTCATAGCAGAACAAAGTGGAGCGGCGAACTTAAAGCAGGGCTCGAGACTCTTGCAGTGAACTAGGATGACCACAGACAAACAATAGCACAACGGCAGTTTGCCAGGAGCAGCCTATTAATACGTCCCCCCTCCACCGATGTCAATGCTTCCATTTCAATTCTGAAGCGTGGCCGACAAAGGTACTCGCCTAGACTCTTAAGATAGGACTGCCATTTGTCATGAACGGCAACAAACATAATTCCTCATCACTGAGGAGCCTTCTGTTTGGAAGTCCATGTATTGTATAAATACCCCCGCCTAGTAGGTAGCACTCGTGTTACAATCAGCCACCGATGGTATGCTGCACAACGTGTGAACATCGAATCCGACAACCCTGCCAACCGGTGAAGCAGTAGGCCCACTGCTTCACCTAATTCATGAACTTGAGCTTTCCAACATCCACGATTGCAGGCTTTGAGCGCCCGTCTCATTCGGTATGTGGCTAAATGCGCAATTTGCCCGAAATTCTGAACGGGGTCCCTTTATTCAGGGTTCGACCAAGAAATTGTTTGTAGCCATTTCATGCGCCATTTTCTGCCAATCAGTCTGCATTCTCCCACACAGATATCAGTGCACTGGTAGCTAATATGACCCCCTCCGACGCTCCTGACGCGAGGTATACGCTGGGCGTCTGTGTGATGGAGCGTAAGGCACGCTCGGCCCCCATGCTTGAGATCCTGGGGCGCCTGCCGCCTGAGCTCTTTCGCATAGAATTCTTCGGTGACGAAACGATTTTGCACCACCCCGTAGAAGCCTGGCCGCGTAGCGACGCGCTCATCGCTTTCTTCTCCAAAGGTTTTCCGCTACAAAAGGCACAAGACTACGTGGCTCTGCGAAAACCTGTAGTGGCCAACGACCTGGACACACAGTACCTGCTACAGGACCGCCGAGAGGTCTATCGTGTTTTGCAAGAACACGACGTCCCCACGCCGCGCCACCTCTTCGTGAACCGTGACGGCTATGGTGGCCAGACGGCCCCCCCAGAGGTTATTGAAGGAGACGACTTCATCCAAGTGGACGGTGTCCGCATCAACAAGCCTTTTGTGGAGAAGCCTGTGGATGGAGAGGACCACAATATCCATATCTACTACCCCATGAGCGCCGGTGGGGGTTGCAAACGTCTGTTCCGAAAGATCGGCAACAGATCCAGCGAGTACGATCCACAGGTTAATACAGTACGAGCAGGTGAAGGCTCCTACATCTACGAGGAGTTCCTGTCCACCCAGGGAACCGACGTCAAAGTATATACTGTGGGTCCACATTACGCCCACGCTGAGGCTCGTAAGTCCCCTGTACTCGACGGGCGTGTAGTGAGAGATGCAGATGGCAAAGAAGTGAGATACCCGGTCATGTTATCAACCGAGGAGAAGCAGATCGCCTATCGAGTTTGTCGGGCTTTTAAGCAGACCATCTGCGGCTTCGACATCTTGCGAGTGCGCGATGCCTCGTACGTGTGTGACGTGAACGGCTGGAGCTTTGTCAAGAACTCGGAGAAATACTACGACGATTGTGGCATCCTCGTGACTCAATACTTGGAACAGGCATTATTAGCTGGTGGTGGGGCGATGGCTGGAGAGGACTTTGGTACCGACAGCTCTGCCTTCAGCTCAGTTACCTTCCGTTTTGCCCCTGATGCTCCACCGCCCAGTGCAGAGCTGTCGGAGCCGCCAACGGCGCAAAGACATGCGATGCTTCGTGGTCCATCCACATCTATTGCCGAGTCTGAAGTGTCTGAAGCTGACAGTATCTCGGATGGAAATGAAGACACTTTGTACCAAGAAGAAGAGCTGCGTTGCGTTCTGGCTATTATTCGACATGGCGACCGCACGCCTAAGCAGAAGATGAAGATGAACGTTTGCCACCCTGCTTTCTTGCAGTTCTACGAGGATCGACTACGTGAATCGCACCAGGAAAACGGAGACGGGAACGATTTAAAGAAGAAAAAGAAACTAGACCTCAAAATAAAGGCTGTAGCCAATCTGGAGCGTTTGCTTCAGGTGAGCACGGACTTGCTACACAAGTACAAGAATCGAGATCCAGCTTTCATGGAATTCTTGGAACAGCGTGAGGTCAAATGCGGTGAAGATGCAACTGACCGCGTTAAGGGTTACCGCACCCTACGTGACGTGCTTCAGCGCTGGCAGCTCGTGGGAATTAATCGCAAGGTGCAGCTGAAGCCCAAGGAGTTTGTTACTGTGCCTGTTGAAGGTATTGACGAGAATGGAGAACAGCTGACGATACGCCGAGTAAGCAAACTGCTGCTGATCATCAAGTGGGGAGGAGACCTCACACACACTGGAGAGGAGCAAGCCGAGCACCTTGGGCAGAAGTTCCGTCGTATGATGTATCCTGGTGGCGCAGGCGGCTTGAACCGTCTTCACTCAACATTTCGCCACGACCTGAAGATTTACACCAGTGACGAAGGTCGTGTCCAAAAGACAGCAGCGTCATTTGCGAAGGGCTTACTGGAGCTCGAGGGTGACATTATCCCTATCCTTGTTGGACTCGTTCTAAAGTCGAAGGATGCAGATTCGATGCTAGACCAGTCGGGGTCTTCCGCTCAGGAGATCATAATGCGTGTAAAGCAGCGCCTACACAAGATTATCCACCGCGAAGACCATTGCAGTCAGCTCATTGCCTCCAACTCTCGACTCATTCGCTCTGTTGCACTTGCTCTCACGAAAGTGGACCAGCCGATAAAAAAAATGGGAATCATGCACAAGTTGCTGCAGTCGCTCAAGGAGCAACTAACGCGCATGATCCAGGAGAAATCACAGTACAAGACAGAGATAGACCGATGGCAGCAGCAGAAGGTTACTGCTGGTCGTCTGCTAACGCCCGTAATGGGTCGTTCAGCAAGCGTCAATGAGCTGAGTCAACCCAGGAACCGACATGTACACTCGTACTCCCCGCGGAAGAAACACAGTGAAGGAAGCAACATCTCCAGCGATGCTGCTAACAGCAGCGTTGGTCTGCGCAAAATGCGGCCGCCCGAATCTTTGCCCCCTGAGGAGATCAAGTACCCTGAACCTTGTGGTCGCGAGACTCTTGACGTCATGAGAGAGCGATGGGCTAAGCTGTATCGAGATTTCTACGTAAAGAAACGTGACACTTACGATTTGTCTAAGATCCCGGACATTCACGACTGCATTCGATACGACGCAGTGCACAACGCACACTTGAATTTGACCGACGTGCGTGAATTACTGGAGATTTCGAGTGCATTATCTCACGCTCTCGTGCCGCAAGAGTATGGGATCAACGTGGATGAGAAGATCTTCATTGGCTCAGCCATGTGTCGAACTCTTTTATCAAAGATCAACACCGACTTGGATTTGGCTCGCGGCCTTAAGCCGGACGTACTCAAAGACCACAACACGCACCGTCTGAATCCGTCGTACGCCAAGAAAATCAAGTCTACGCATCGATCTGTGCGCACACGTCTGTACTTCACAAGCGAGTCGCACTTGCACTCGTTGTTGAATGTCCTTCGCTATGGACGCGAGGAATGTGCGGTGAAAAGCCCTATTGGCGAAGAATCACGCAAGTGGATTGAGGACATCCCGGAACTCTGCTACATGACGCACTTTGTCGTACGCGTCTTCGAGCGCGTCCAGTACTCGCTGGACGACCCTCAACGATTCCGCGTCGAGATCTCAGTATCTCCTGGCGCAGACCAAGACCCGCTAAACTCTGATCCGGAGAAACAGATCGAGGTGGCGCCGCTAAAAATTATCTCACACGAGGGCCTCACATGCCAGGAGCTTGTTGACTACGTTGCTGACTGTATCGACTACGCAGAACAGAACGAGATCAAGGAAATGGTAAGTCGCACGGTAGCAGTCAAAGGCAGCGGTAGTCCTGAGGGCACGAACGGAGATAGCAGTAGCAACAGTGGGGATGTTACCTCGGTCAAGCGCTCGATGTACTCTCTGAGCAACAATAGCAGCGACAGTAACTTCAGCAGTGACAACTAACTGATGACGGTAGTAGTAGCAACAGTGTGGATGTTACCCCGGTCAAGCGCTCGATGTACTCTCTGAGCAACAATAGCAGCGACAGTAACTTCAGCAGTGACTCCAAGACACCAAAAAGGGAAACTAGAGCAAGAACTTTGTAGAAGTATCATGAGGTTGCTGTGTATACATGGAACTTTTTATAGAGAATCATAGTCCTGCGCTCCCATCATTTTGGCTGCCTGCTGTAATACAATTTGCTGTGTTGTGTCCACACTTTACCAACGCCTTCGGAAATCTGGTTCGACGTATGCTGCTTCCGCTTCGACGTTGAAACTGTGATTGAGACCTGTGCTTTCACGAGCTGTCATAGGGGCGGTAGGGTCTCGTTTAATGGTGGGGGATGGTGGCTGCTGCTCGCATTCCTCGGGGCGACCACCGCCACTCGGGCCTCCTGACGGCACGGAGGACTCGAATCGTGAGATCTCGTCGTGTCGTGACTTGAGGTGGATAAACTCTTCACGTCCGTGATCCAAATGGACTATCTCGTCGTTCAGATGCTCCGTTTGCTCGAACTGGGTGATCTCACGGTGCGCGAACTCGCCGTCCAGTGACTCCATGTGTAGCACCTCCGTTTGGTGACGTTCCTTCTCTACAAGTTTCTGTGGTTGCCCCTTATCGTCGATCTTGGTGTACTCGGTGATTCGCTCCTGGATGGTAACTTCACGCTTCTTCCAGAGACCGGGGGCCGGTGGAGCTCGAGTTACGGCTTGGTTCATGTGGGGCGGATGGAAAGGTGGCGCATTTATTTGACGGAGTTTTAAAGTGCGAGGTGGGGGCGTCGGAAGACTTTCGAAGTGCTGCTGTCTCTCTTCATGTGCTGCTCGTACAGCTGCCGACTGCAGAAATCGTATGAAGTCGTCGAAGCGCAGCAGCGTCTGCTGTGCGGCCAGACCGAAGACTTGGACGAGGAGCAGACGTCGATAAGGTGTAATGGACAAGTAGGTACACAACTCGTTTAACTCTAAGAAGTCGCCACGGACTTTCGGATCGATGTCTTCAACCCGCTTCTTGAGGAACCGGAACTGTTCATGCAGAGTCTCCTTCGGGCGTCGCAGATTGAAAGCACGCAGAACCAAAAAGTGCTGCAGCTTCACGCGTCGCTTTGCCTCGCGTAATTCTATTGTTGAGCTTTGCTTCCCGAGGTCCCTACCTCCACTGCAGCTGGTGGTGACGTCTACAGTCATCGAGCTCCAAAGTGCCTCTGATCGCAAGGGACTGGGCTTTGTGTTAATTTTGGCGTTGTGCAAGGGCCACGACATGCATTAAAATTAGCAACTGTAAGTCCTACCTCTTCCATTGCGTTCTCCTGCAGCTGCTGCTGCTGACCTCTCTTCTAGAATGCTGTCATCTTCGTACGCCCAGGAGCCTACTAGGTTAGCCTCCACAGTCTGCTCTTCTGACGCTGTTTGGGAATCCTCTTTCTGGCTCAGTACGATGCATGCGTGAGCAAAGGCACATCGCAAGCGACAAAGAGCAAGTCTGGAGCATAACAAGCCAAGATCGCGTCCGGTTTCGACAGGATCTTCTAAACAGAGGCGGGTGTTGTTTTGACGAGACCAGCCCTTACTGGCTTTTGACATGGTTTCTCTCGTTCGTAGGCTCGCAATACTATGCTCGTAGTCGAACTCGCAAGTGTAGAAGCGAAAAAATCCCAGCCGCAGTGCCTTCCAGTCTTGTACACCGCTAGATCGTTCCCTGACATTGACGTAGGTTTTGTCAACAGCTTCGAGCCTCTTGTCGATGTCCTCTTCTGATACAGCACTTAGTTTGGATTCGTCCTCTGCAACATGCGCACTGCAGTCCAGAACTGGCAAAACACTAGCACGCTGGAGATAGTAGATAGCCAACAGGATAAGTCCATACGAACTTAACGCTCCACACACGACACGCTTCTTGATTTGGCGCCATCTACGCAGCCATATGCATAGTTGCCGGACATGTAAAAGCTGTCTTCTCACTGTGGGAGTCACACTGCTTCCTCCATAGAATAGCCACCGTAGTAGTCGTGTATTCCACAACGCAGGGACATTGTTCACGCAAAGGTCACATGGAAGGTTTGTCGATGGATCTCGGAAGTGCACAACGGGAACACGAGCACCAGTCACAGCGGTAACATGATGAGCGTATTCAGGAAGGAGATACAGAGCCAAATGCTCCGTCACTTCGGTGATTAAGGATGCCGTTTCTTGGCGGAACTGTGGGGAAGACGGCAACAGCGCACAGAGATCCACGTCGGTTGGATCTTGGTTGGAAGGAGACAGAAGACCAGTGACAGAAGATCCAAATACCAGCACACGGGCATCTGGCCACATGAGACGAAGAATATTTTGCACGCGGTGAGCAACTTGTTGTCGACGCTGCAGCTCCTCCTTCATCCCGGTACCCTCACCGGTATCTGGGTTGTCGTCCATACTCACTGAAGAACTGACGTTGATCTGGTCAGCAAACGCTCGTGCATGAGTCGGCACGAGATGCAGCAACTTGCCCGTTTGTAGACACTTTGCCACCAATGCTCGTTCCAACCTGCAGCCTCGCTTCCTCTTGTCGTACACTTTAGCGTCGTCCGACGCTGTCGGATGCAGCATCAAGCGCACGGCGGCCTTCATTGCTGCCTTATTTTCTTTCCCGTTTATCGCTTGAAGTAGCCATGGCCATAGAAACCGATCCAGTTTCTCGTCGGTCGCCAACGAGCCTTCGTCCACTTCCACCAAAAACTGAGCTAGCAGCAGCGGCGCCACCGAAATCAAATCAGGCGGCACAGCGTTTAGGAGTTCTTGGCCTCGCACATTCAGACGCTTCGCATAGTGCGCCGCCGCTCGGGGGGCCTCGCGCTCGGATAAAATCACACGGACGACCGTCGCCCGGGCGTCTGGAGTCCCGATCCGGAGTGCGAGACTCTGTGCCGTGTCCCACTCGCGACTAGACGTCCCCCCCAGCAGTTTGACGAGATCTTCAGTAGACGAAGATACGGGATTCAAACGCGCTAGTCGCTCCGCCTTGGACTTGCGGTGCCCTCGGCGCTTTTTGCGCTTCGGCGTCGCGGTGTCAGGCTCTGCTCGCTTCATAAAGGGAGATTTCCGATTAATAACCGGGGCACTATTATTAATATTAACTAGCCGAGCGCCGCCGCTACATTTAGGTTTATGTTTGCCTTCCCGCCTCCACTTAACTTCAGCGGGATAATAATTCCAAAACCTCTGAACCCCCATGTGCCTCAATCAACTTCTTAAAATTTAATAAATCTGGGTTTCATGTAGACCAGTCGCTACAAAATGCTGAGTTCCCAGCAAGCCGTCCAATTATTTCTACAAAAGACTGAGCCCCTAGATCATACTTACGATGCTTAAAAAAATATTTTACATGTAGTAATCTTGACACACTCTATTTATTATTGTCGGCTATCACTGAATCACCTGCACTTCAAATAGCATGTCTACAAACGCCACACAATATATTTAGCTTAGCGTCGTGCTTGATATCATGGGCCGTTCCTGAGCCGCTATGAAACTTAGCTCGCATCAATGCAAAGGATATTATAGTAATGGCATGTCCAGTTTCCACTGAGTACACCCTTGTACTGCCTGTAATTAACTGAAGATTGATCACTTCTCGTACTAAACTCAGTGTAAGCTAGACAATATTAAAATTGTAATATTTTTTAAGCATGCAGCGCTCAATTTGTGCTGAATCAGAATAAGTCATTAGACACTCGATTCTGTGCCAGTTATGATTAAAGCAGTTGAATAATGTGTCGCAAGACGCCTTGTTGCTATTGTTGTTGACGGTAGTGCTTTTTATTTGACTAGCCGAGCGCCGCCGCTACGCGGCGGTAATTTCGGTTTTACTCCAGATTTTTGCCTTCCCGCCTTCGCTTCGCTTCGGCGGGATCAAATCCTCTCAGTCCCATATGTACGTAAATCGACTTCTTTAATTTCATAAATCTGCGTTTTTGCTACAAAATGCTGAGTTCCCAGTAAGCCGTGTAAATATTTCTACCGGTACAAAAGACTGAGCCCCTAGCATCATACTTACCATGCTCATAAACGATTACGCTAGTGATCTTGGCAAAGTCTCTTTATTGTTGTTGGCTATCACTGTACCTTAATCTTCCACCCAGAAGCACCTGCACTTCAGTCTAAAACCGCTAAATAAAATGTTTAGTTTAGCGTCGTGCTCAATTTCACGGGCCGTTTCTGAAACCTAGATTGCATCAATGCAAAGAATATCTGTCCAGCTTGCATCAAATACCCGCTTGTACTGCCTGGTTAAGCTTGTAATAAACTGCCTATTAACCACTTCGCAAACCAAACTCGCTACTTTGAAAGAAAATTAAAAGTGTTACAGTTTGAATATTTAATAAAAATATTCAAGCTGTAGCATTTTTTTATGCCTTGAAGTGTGTTCATTTTGTGCTGATTCACAATTAGTCATTAGACACTCCAATCTGTGCCTGTTATGGTTATAGCCTTTGAATATAACCATGCGTCGCAAGACGCCTTGCTGTTGTTGTTGTTGACGGCGGTATTTTTATTTGATACTTAATTGATGATTCCAAAATATTAGGCTCTAAGTTGATTAACGTTTCTTTACGGGCCTACTTATAATAACCAAAATTGACACCTCTCATGTTGTGCTGTTATCTTACCACTGCATATAAAACCTTATTCTACGCCCTTGTCGGCAACGCGTCTACCTATTAAGAAGTATCAGAATTTTGTTGTCTAAAAAAAACGCTAAGGAAACAATGGTCAAGTTCAATTCGCTTACAGTAGTAATTGTCATCAGCACATATAACTTCTTTTTGTTCACACGTCAATCTAACACTATATATCTTTGTGGATCAAGTGACAACGTTTATAAGCACAGTTTTGCTCTTACGGCCAGTCTACACGACCGGCTACTGCTGTACATGTAACATGTACGATTTAGCAATACCAGAAACCCACTCAGATAACTTATTAATGCTAATATTTTTGCAGTAAAAAAATGAAATTTCATTTTAGTCAGTGTAACACACAGATCCTACTGAGTACAGAGTATTTAGTATACTTAAACCATGTCCTCGGAAACACGCATGCTTACGTGTACGCTAAGCACCCTGCCCTCCGTTGACTGTAGTATTCAAATATCAATAACAACATGCATTATGAAAAAGTATTTAATATTTAAACGATGCCGCCTTCGGACTTTGTGCAAATCCCCATATGTAAACTGGGAAACACATGCATTTATTGATGTCAACTACACATTCTAGTTTTAACCAATTGAAGCCACCTTCGCTGCGCTCGGCAGCCAGTAGGAATATTTAAATTATTTTATCCAATGATTTGTCCGGAAAAGCGTGACAGACACGACAATTTAGTGTGACGGACAGACAGGTTGCTGCTGTGGTGTAGCGGGATCAGCAAAATCTGCGAGATTGCCAGATCCAACTTACCAACTGCGCCCAGACACCGACTAACGGAGGGGGTCCCCCGATGATCCGTGTTCTGCTGAACTTTCCTCACCTTGTGTACCCGTCGGTAGGGCGGGATCTGCTCTCTCGGTAACTTCCGAAGAGTTCAAGTGGTGAAGCTTGAGTGTCTTGGCGAGACGTGGGGATGGGGTGGAGCAGCAGTGGAAAATCTTCACTCTGCGTCCGTGGATGGTTCCGTATCCTAAGCGAATATTCGAGTTTATGGATTCGGGGCCTAGATCGTGGATCTAGCCGTAGGGTTGCCTTGCGGGTGTGTTCCCTTGCCTTTGTGTTGTCCTTTAAGTCGTACTTGCCGCCTCCTGTGAGAGATCTTGAGAGTTGAGAACCTCTAGGGTGTAACCGACCAAGTAGTAAATTCGGTTAACCTGTCGGATCTGCACGAGTAAAGGAAAAGCTCACTAGGTTGTAGGATCTGGCCAATGTATTATCCAGTTATCACTACCAACACTAGATTCGCAATTCCCAACCTTCTCGGAGCTCGTACGGCCAATGTAGTTCCGGTTCTTGAGGGCAGGAAGGCACTTGCGTGATACTGTGCAAATTGAGGTCTGTATTGATATTTAAGCCTATACCTGCCTGGGTTTCTACCTTCTATGTCTTTCATCTGCTAAATCCCTTACCCGGCTCGGCTGCATGTCCCTTCTTCCCTTGACCCATCATCCCAGCTGTATTAACTTCAGATCCACCGGATCCATGGCGTAATCATTATGGTTACCCCATTATGGGTACACTCATCCGGATCCAGGTCGCTTGGATCCACTTCACTTGAAAGTGTACACTCGTCGTGGATCTGAGCTCTCCACTCATCCAACATCATCTCGCAACCGTCTGTGATCTCCACTGTCCCACGAAAGTTCTAGATCCACTGCATCCATCATACCTGTACCCTGGATCCAGGTCCCTCCAGGCGGGATCCTCCCTCCTTGGATCCTAACTCGAAAGCATGGGATCCGGGTCACCTCGCGGTGGATCTTGACTCCCCGTTAGCCGTGGCTACTAGATCCACCTTTAGAGGGCACCTACCATCCTTCCTTCATAGGATCCACACCCGATCCACTCTTGTATAGTATATCCCATATCCATTTAGGTGAATCCAAGTAAGGGTGGATCCGAGGTAAGTCTTGGTGGATCTTGCCTTCTCGTACATCGCTCATACCAGATCCATCGTCACTTCATACGGGGCGCTGCTCGTCATGGCTAATCCACCACCGGCAACTTGCATCCGTGCCAGCCAACCCAAATCCTCTCTAATCACTTGAAATTGTCATTGATTCGGGATAGTGACCCCGCGTCAGGCCCATTCTCTTATTTCTGAGAAAGCACTTTACCACAATCGCCTCCTGTACGTTGTCGGCGCTGCACAACAGCGTTCACGGCGTGCATCACCAGCACCCACCACCGTTTTCTCCCCTTCGCGACACATGTCTCCCGCCAAGCGTACCGGCAAATCGTCGGGCAAAGCCCCATCCACTACCCCTCCGGTCAGTCCGTCTTCTATGTCGCCCACCGATCTGCGGGTTCTAGCTCAGGCTCTCTCCGATCAGGTGCAAACCCTGACGGCGGAGCTCCAGACGGCTCAAGATGCCCAAGACCAAGCTGCGTCTCTACACACTACCCAACTTCAGACCTTGCGGGCCCAAATACATGACCAAGCGATGGAGATCCAGGGGTGGGAGCACCGTGCGGCCTCTCGGTCGCAGGACCTGCGACTCCTGTTGGCTGATCAGGCGGTAGAGATCCGCGACCTGACCGGACGACTGGATCGCGCCTCCCGTCAACGAGACGTTATGCGAGATGACAACGACCATCTCCTCAGGGAGATGGCACTCGCCGGATCTGAGATCCACCAACTCCAATCCCAGGTCCACGACCTCGAGCGGGATCTGGAGGATTCCCAGACTGCTGGGGCAGCTGCGGATGTGAGCTTGGACCGCCTCCGTGACGAGTTGCGTTTGACCCAGGAGGAGGTGGTGACCAACGACTATGTGGGATCCACCCATGGCGGATCCGCCTTTGGGTCGGCGCGTGGAGGGTCCCCCGCGCCAAATCCACCTCCCTCGTCGCCGGATGCAGCCCTGGCTCAACTCTCTGAGGAGTTGCAAGACACCAAGGAGTCGCTCGAGAGGGCGTCTGCCGGACGAGATTACGCGCTTGAAGAATTCGTGCGTATGACTCGGTTGCGGGACGAGATCCAAGCGAAACTGGCAGACAGCGAGCTCCAGCGGGACAAGGCGACTACCGAGTGGGCGGATGCCGAGCGTGCGCAAACGGAGCTGGAATCCAAGCTTCGCCGCATGAGTACGTGGATCCTCTTTTAGCCCTTGCTAGTAGCTCCATATTCACTTGTTATTGTCAATCTAGGTGCCAAATTGAAGAAAGCAGATGCGACCACCGCGAAACTCCAGGATCAACTTTCCGCAGCCCAAACTCAGCAGCAACAGCTGATCCTGGAGCGCGATCGCGGCTTGTCGGAGCGCGATTTGGCACGTCGACGACTGGCGCTGGTGACAGCTGCCGTCTCGGATCCACTCCTCC